AGAGGCTATTTCACTGATTCAAGCTAGTAATAATAAATAAGACAATTTTGCCGTCCAGGAGCTCTAAATGAAGACGTAGAGGAAAATATATGCCAGATTCGTGATCAGCGTGTACAAATCCATCATAAATGACCTCTCATGTGTCAAGGTCAACCAGAGGTCATTCGAGGTCACATGAGGTCAACATAAAACTTGACCTTTTCCGAACAAAATATATATCATTCGACGCGGCTTGACAAGGCGAATGCGATGGTACCATTGCCGTAGCTCTAGGACCTTTTTTGTCGAAGTTATTTGCGAAAAACTAAAATCACATTTCGGGGTCGTTGACCTGACCTCTGACCTCAGGTCACCAAAACTATTTTTCTATTTTTCTCTAGGTCAAACGCTACACAACCGTGCTCGTAATTTGTCTTTATCTCTAAAACTCTATTTTTAGCAGCTATTTGAAGTTTGCGCCTGTGACGCCGAGGTTTGCCGTGCAGGGGTATAGAAAAATGGACCTTGTGACGTCATCAATGGGGCTAGGTCCAAATTTTTTACTTCAGAAGATTTCAAATTGATTAGAGAAAAAGTACTGAAAGTTTCGCTTACCTTTTCCTAAGCGTTCGGGAGCTATCGCAAATATTCGCCAGGGGGAGGGGGGCGAAAAACGCCCCCCGGGCCCGCGAGGGCTAGAGATGATAATCGGATACCAGCTTCTTGGTATACCGTTATCCCGATACCAAGCCGACACCACCGCGATACCAAGTGTGCTACTGCACGTGCGCACGTGCAGCCTGCAGGCGACGCTTCCAGATCTCGAGAACGATGGGGCCGACTGCGCTAAAATTTGTTACGCGTTCAGGGACCGGTTGGTAGGGTACCGTGCAAAAGCCACTTTGGACCCAGTTTGCACGTGCGCACGTGCAGGATGCTGCTTCCAGATCTCGAGAACGGCTGGGTCGATTGTCTCTAAAGTTGGCACATCGCTAGAGACCGGAGACCGGTTAGAGACGTAGGGTGGAGTGCACAAGTTAGTTGGAGGTACCGGCGCAATTTCGCACCTGCATGGCTCACGCTCTCGCTCGCTCGTTAATCGCCCCCAAAAGAAGTCTTACTGGCTTGTAATGGCTGCTCACTCGACAGCATCTAAGTCCTGTTACATATAAGTTCTTCCCCGACGGATATTGCACCCCTTGCAATAAGGCACTGACCAGAATAAAACACACACACATAGAGGGCGTTCAGCGAAGCAGAAAGCGAAAGGTCTCATTAAAACAGCACACGAGCGCTGTCAAGGCCGTCTCCATGGCAACAATCGGTTCATTGTTCACTTACGATGGGTAAAAAATACACCCTGTATGGAGCCAGACAGAACAGGCTCGTCTCAGGCTCGTCTTCATTCGTCAGCCGAAATGTGGCGACATATCCGTCTTTGGAATCGGAATAAAAGGCAGATGAGGAGGCTCATTGTAATGACCGACAATGTGCCGTATATCTCCTCAAGGAACCGTGAATGGTGACCGGTGTCGTCACTGATGACGTCACTGATAGGCTGATAGCACGGCGTCTTCTAAATGACGCCAACAGAGCGTGAGAGACTAGCGTCACCTGCGTCACTCACAAGTGTAACGCATTCTAAATGTCATCAGACGCCGGTGGGCGATAGCAGTTGGAAGATTAACCCGCGCCGTGCTGGTGGCCTGAACTTTCCGCCGAGTGCTGGGGGGGGGGGGGCGTTTTCACGCCCCCCCCCCGTCTAACTCGGCTCCTGGGCCACGTAGCGACACGCGGTAAGCGGCAATCGAAAGAGCGTCAAAAATAAGGACGAAAACACTTCAGTCATTTTTTGGGTCAGGTCAAAGGTCAGGTCACCAGAGGTCACCAAAGGTAAAATGTTGACTATTTCAACATTTTGGAAACTGCCAACGGCTATCTCGGGAACCGATAGAGCTACAGCGCCGCGGAAAAGCGCATTCGATAGCCCTTTTACAGACCTTTCTGAGTATTGTTCTCAGATTTGACCTCAGGTCAACGGTTTAGGCTCCAGAGGGCAAAAACTCCAAAAATAGCCGTTTTTACGAAAAACGTTTTTTCGTCAATAACTTTTGACTCATAAGCGCCATGACATTACTTTTGCCAGCATCGTGTTCCTCTCGTTCAGACGCGTCGAATGAACTATTTGTTGACCTTGAAAGGTCATTTTGAAAATTTGACCTCAGGTCAAGGTCATGACCTGACCGAAAAGGGTCATGTTGCATATCAGTCGATCCGTATCGTCGAGCTGAACACATCTGACGTGTTTTCACCGCTCTAGCACGTCTCTATCAAAAGTTATAGCCAAAAAACTGCTGGCGACCGTTCATGACCTGAGATGACCTCAGGGGCACACAGAGGGGTCACAGGTGCATTTTTCCTATTCAGTGTGTCATGTTTACCTATGAACCGATGTTTGAGAGCGTTTTGAACGATATTCGTCCAAAAGAGGCGCATTTCAATTTTCTCCCATTGACTTATAATGGAGAGGTCGCAAAATTGACCTGACCTTAGGTCACAGATATCAAAAATCCGAGATATACATTTTATACATACTGTTACTCATATCAATCGCTGAAAGTTTCAAAGTGATCGTTCAGTCGGTGTAGCTATAGCGAGCCTTTGAACTTTTTCTGAGGTAAGGTCACTTGACGTGACCTGGTGACCTGACCTTGAACGGCCTAGGTCTGAAATTTTCACAACATGTGCGGAAATGATGTAGGAACACGTGTACCAAAAACGGCGGCGCTGCGCGCCGCCGTTTTTGAGATATTCGCGAAAAACCTGAGGGGGGGGGGCGTAAAAACGCCCCCCCCCCAGCACGGCGCGGGTTAACAACAAACGCAAACAAAAGAATTTAGTCGTCGGTTTGCGTGTTTGCTCGTGAAAGTTCGCGACATTGAGTAGCTCAAGTGTACAAAACACGTATACAAGTGCTTACACACAACAAAGCATTTGTTAGGTTTCAACACAGCATGAGATTTGATGAAATATTGACTGGGAAAACTAGTTATCGCACATTGCTATAAAGAGATACTTGATACTTTAAAATGTTTTTGAACACAGTTGAATTAAATTAGTGCGTAAACGCTGTGCAATTAACCCTCGTCTGGCGGAGGGGGGGGGGGGGGGGTGCGCCCCCTTAGGTTTTTCAAAGTGTTATGAAAAATGCCCTGCAAGGGCGAGGGTTAAAATATGAGCTCAAATGTACTCCCCGCAAGTCGAGTATCGCTGTGGTGTTATGAATACGGAGATATACGAATTGCGAGTCAGCCAAATGAGATTCATGTAGAAATAAGTTGGAACAAATTGTTAGTCTGTGAAAAGCAGTGTAGATTAGCTAGTTTTAAAAGTAATTTATCTCTCAGATCTAGTGCTGTTTTCATACCAATTTTTACAATGAGGGTCGATATTAAAAAAAAGATGAACTACCAAACGCCTCTCAGGATAAGATGAGACGGTTATAAGACTTCTTTGGACCTTATTCTCTCTCCTCTTCTGTCAATCTGTAGTTAATGCTAGATGTAGCTAATGGTGGTCTCTTCCTATTATTTCGATTTCGTCCCAGTGGATTCATAAAAAAATGATGTGTGAAAACGTTTACTTACGTGACGTTTCTCCGTGCAAAGTATGTAGATGGCCAGATCAATGAAAGGTCGCTAAGGATGGATGATGGGAAACGAGCGTTGGTGAAAGCTGGGAGGACAAGATATGAGTGCAAGAACACTTCTAGTAAGATCCTTTTCCTTCTTTCCTTTTCCGTCCGGCGTCCTCCACTCGTTTCCCGTATTTCTTGAGAAAATAAATAGCGGGATGTAGGGAATTTTTGGGGATGGGGCGGTCAAAAAGAGAGAGGTTCTTGAATACCAACGGAAGAAGAAACTTTCCGGAAGAAGCGACTGGAGGAAGAAGGGTGACCTGCAACCATCGGTCCGGAAGAAGGTTGTTCCTGTCCGGTTAGTTTATAAAACTTCTTCCGAACCTGTCCGGTTCGGAAGAAGGTTTATGTCCGGAAGTAGGGAGACCTGCAATTGGTTCCGTATCTACGAATGACCTGCATTTGGGTCCGGAAGCAGGGAGGACTTGCCCGGAGGTACGAATGACATGCAACTGTGATGCGTCTCTGAATGGCCACTCTCTTGTGTAAGACAGCACACCTAAGAGCGAAAGTACGCTGCAACCGCCGCCGCCACAGCGACACATTCGCCGTCGCCGCGCCGCATTCGTGTTAACTGGGCGTGACGCGCCATTGTTTGTCTCAATGGCGTCAGAGGTGATACGTGAGGTGTAGGTGGCGGGATTCATCAGTTGAGAGGTGACTGTGAGGGAAAGAACATCTACCACCTGAAACCGTCTGCTGCGGGACTCTGGTCTCTGAGGTGTACTGAAGATCTCTGGTGATCTGCGGTGATCTTTGGTGACCGTCACTGCCAGCTGCTGGCCTCTGGTGATATTTGGTGGTGTCTGGTGACCTCCGGTGACTTTTTGCTACTGTTGATCACTTCTGGTGACTCTTGTTCGGTACTCTGCAGAGTGTGCTAATTCGTCGCGGGAGAAAACAGGTGGCGAAGAGAAGAGTAGAAATGTCATAACACCGGTAATAGACTTCGGCGAGAAGAAGCGGACTGAAAAAGGGACAAGCCTGTGCTGGAGAATGAAAGAGGAAAGGAGGAGTTGAAGAAAGGGGAGAGCGAGCCGAAGTGGTGGTCCTCTGAGAAGAAGGATCGTGGACCAATTCATACACAGCACCGTGATTTTATATCCTCAAAAGGTGCCGTATGACCGTTTTGGTAGACGGTGTGCATTAAATGTGCGAACTTCGTTTACGAAAAGAGCGGCTGCCTTGAGGATAATACAAAGTTCGTCACTAGAACGGTGATAACGTTGCTGAAGTCGTTTTATTCGGGTGACAAACCCAGAGAAATAGCTTAGTAATATATGCTATATAATAGTAAGTGAGAGAAATAGTAGCAAAGTTGTGTTCCTACCATATATTTTTGTGCTATCTAAGGGTGGTCATAAAGCGATAGAAAATCTTGAGTTTGTACTTCCATCCATCTCTGGAATCCCTCGCAATATCTTGATTCCGTAAAAGAATCGTCTTTCTTTAGCCATGCAACTTCACTTCATCATATTCAGTATTTTGATACTTCCGTGCCTTTTAGAGGCCAGACTGACATCACGAGAAAATCGCAAAGATTTTGAAACTATAGTAGCCAAAAACAAGCCATTTCATTTGTTTAGCCACCGGCGTGGTACAAAATCCCCAGTAACTCGCCACAGAGGTGTATTTTCACCAAAACAGCTCAAAATTAGTCGCTCTAATCCCTCGCATAAAGTACTCTTCATCCATAGAGGCAGCCCAAGTTGTAAATCAAAACATCATCTTCAAGATCATCCCCCTCAGTTTACACGCAAAAGTCCATTCCTGAGCAATGCTTGGTCTCCCCTCTCCAAAACAAGCCTCGCAATTCGCAAAAGGACCGCCCGTGCCGAAGAACACGCTGCTGAACATGATGAAAAGTTGGACACCGCTAGCCAAACAAGAAAGGAGAAAATATCTGTTGAAGATGATAGTCCCAACATCAGCACTGCCATGGTGGACATGAAGGAGCTTCTGCAGAAGCTGATGGAGAAGGCGGAATCAGATGGCGAATTGAACACCGTTGACGTCACGGCACCTCCTAGTGACGTCATCAGTGCGCCCAGTGACGTCACCAACTTATACGGTGAGTTTTAGCCTTGCATGATCTCAGAAGAACTAAGGGAATCAAAATGATACGTCTCTCGACCTGAATGTGTAAAACCGATATACATAGATAGGTCCGGCGAAGATTGACATTCTTTGAGATGTTACGAGCGTTTTAAACGAAGTTGATGCTGTATAATCTTGAATGACATGGCACCGCTTGTGATTACTGAAGCCGTTTAGTCATTTAACTTCCTCGTATGTGTATAAATCTCGATCAAAATGACTTGACCGCTCGAGAAGGTAAAACGAATTTAGAATGAACTGCCGAATCGAATGCTGATTTTCCAGCATAACCTGCCTTGACCAGCCTCCCGAGTTGACCAGCTTGACCTTGACCTGAAGTCAACATCTCGGTTGTTACCTCCCCTCCCCCTCCCTCTCCCACTCAAAAAAAAAGGCGCGGCGCAGCTGATTATGACGAGCACGATGTTTCTGAAATGGCAACTTCGCTACCATTTTTCCCGAAAGTATTTACAAAAATATACCGACGTTTCGTTCCAACTTGACCATTGCCGGTCACTCCGGTTGACCTAAGACCATGGGGTATACCAGTCGCTGCGAGCCGTTACGACGCACACACGCGTTTCTTCCTGAAGGCAACGAAGACTTAACCCAACCCAACCATACCTAGCCTGTAGGGCAAGTGCAAGGATACGGTGATGGGGTCGCCTTCCCCTTCGTGCTTATGAGACCGAGGAAAATACACAAGACAGGTCAGCGTGGTTGGCGTTGAGCATTTACCTAATTGAAATATCCTAGATATTTCTGGCTCTAAACTAAATGCTTCGTCTTTTCTATGATCAAAAATGTAGATGGACATTCTATCGATTTTAACATGATCTTTTGATAGGAAAACGATCCAGTATAACAACAAACATGCTGACACGAACATTACTATTATAACAACGAACATAATAACACGATTTTTACTGCTTCAGATGCACCTTTACAAGAATCACAACTGTCTTCAAATGCAAGAGGAAATATACCAGCGAGTGACCTGAAGACAGTTCGAAATCAGGTGAGTAGCCCGTTCTATATACGTTCTTATTAACTTAATCATTTTATTTGTGAGAGCATCTGATCATCACCATTCGGTGCCTAAATAATTGCCTTTGATGACTGCAGTTAATGGCCACATTGGTGTTCACTAGCTGTTTGTAAATGTTGTGAAGTGGGGAGGCGCACATCTCGGGAAATTCTTCTTCCAAAGAGGCTTTGTTTTATCCTTTGCGTGTGTGGGCAGGGTTGGGTATATGTCTGTGAGTACTGAGTATCCCCCCATCCACCAGTGACAAAATATTACTCACGACAGGTGACGTCAGACGTGCCACCGGTGACGTCAGATCCGATGACGTCACACCCACTGGACACGACCGCCGCCGCTGTCCCTCCCGTCTCCAATCACCATATGGGATTCAACCGTGGACCCTTACCGAACGTCCAACTTGGGATGAAAGCCAGCGCCTTACCGCCCTCTTCAGAGGCTGCGAAAAGTACTGCGCATGCGCCGGATTCAACACCCGAACTTGACACGACGCCTTTCCGGCCTATGAAACTGCCTGCGGTAAGTGATTAGTGCTGACTTCTGAAAAAGGAACTTTATTTTGAAGATGAACGTTTCGTCCGGATAGTCCGCTTCACTGTGGCGTATGCGTTTGGAGCTGGGGTCTAGATCCTAGCCTTATGTTTTAGGTATAGGATGATGATAAGTGATGTCTTCTAAAGGTACCTATCCCTAACTAAAGAGTTAGATATGAAACAGAAAAAAAAAACTTTAAACCTGTCTGGCTTTCTATGTCGGCATTTATCGTGTCCCCATTTTTTATGTCTGCCTATCAATTGACTTTTTCTGTTGTCCCTCTTTTTTTCGTTGTTTTGACCATGTTTTTATTTAATTCTGTTCTCTGTGTCCTTGTTTTTCGTAGTTCCTCACTGTTTTATAATGCCTCCACTGCCTGTGTTTTGACTGTTTTCTGAATGATTGAATTGTAAATTCTACTATGCTCGATATCTCACCCTGTATCTATCGCGTCTCACTGCAGTTATTCTATCCTCTGCCCCCAGTCTGTGGCCTCCCCGCCTGCTGAAGTGCCCTCCATTGAACCGGACAGTGAGGGAGGCTGGTCCGTCTCCCTGGCTGGATTTGGAGGAGGAAGCCAGGACTTCACAAACTCCGATAACTCCGTGAACAAACTCGTCAACTCCGCGGGCACCCCTGCGTCGGATAACTCTTTACACTCCACTAACGCCGATCAACATGTTGAAGTCCTGGATGGCATTGAAGCCCCTGACGACGATGTAACTGATGACGTCACAGGCGGCACAGGAGATCTGGCGACTGGATCTGATGATGGCAGAGGTCGCTTTGATGACGTATTTCGCTCAGTGCTAATCGCAGCTGGTCCTGAAGACTTTGCCGGTGGTAAAGGTACTGATTTGAATGGGTCTCAGAAAGAGAAAGGAAGTCAAACTGATAAATTGAAAACTATTGGAGACAGAGGTAGAGAGATGATTGAGACCCTCCTGAAACAAGCTTTGTCTTCAGAGAGCATCAGTACTCCGAGCTCCTCCTCTCCCTCTCCCTCCTCCTCTCCCCTTCTCTCTCCCTCTTCCTCCGCCGGCTCTGCCTCGCTGCGTATTGCGACCCCGTCCCAATCCACCCCCCGCGGTCCTGGGACGTTCTACCACTTTGTCAACTCTCCCATGAAGCCGGAGGACGGCAGCAACTGCACCTTCGATCCCATGGAGGAGGGAGAGCCTGTGGGACCTCAGATGAGTCCCAGGATGCAGCTACAGGCGATGACACAGACGGTGGCACAGACGATGTTGCAGAATGCGGGAGTGCCGAGGGTGAACCCAAAGCCACAGCCGGTGACGGAGCTGGAACGACAACCGCTGCTGAAGCCAGAGCCGCAGCCACTTCCCGATTCGGGGTCACGGTTAGATGCGTTCGTAAAGCCAGAGGCCGTCGCAGCAGCGCTGCCGCCAGAGGCGCTGTCATCGGTCGGTAGTTCTCCTCCACCGCCGCTAGAGGCGCTGTCGACTGCCGGTAGTTTTCCGCCGTCGCCGCTAGAGGCGCTGTCGACTGTCGCTAGTTTTCCTCCACCGCCGCCAGGGGCGCTGCTATCACAGATGGCGGAGGCCGATTCTATGATGCCGTCGTCTGGGGTATGTCCGCCCTGTCGCTGTGAGTGTGCCGAAACTGGCCGGTTTAAACCCCGCGTGTGACGCGTGACGCCGGGTAGGTGGCCCGAGATACAGGCGAAACCTGCACCTCTAATAGTTCAAGACGTTTTGTTGTTGTTTGAGTGGGACTTTGTGATGGGGAAGAAACTGTTATGATCTGCACAACAAATAAGGTTACGAAGACCCTATAGTTTAGCATGCAGGCACTGTTGATATATACGAACATGGTTGCCACTTGTCTTAGCACAAAACTGCGTGTGAATGAAGTGGAATTTGTAAAAAAAGTTACGCATACCATGGTTATTGGTGAGAGTAAAAGTTCAAATATCGACCGACGTTTCATGAGAGTCTACCGAAGCATAGTCAAGCCCGTCAATTTAGCATCGTTGCGTACAGCGTCTTTAGTTTGTCTTCTGTTCCACTTCCGGCTGTCCATTGTCGTCTTTTGACGTCAATAGGTCATAGCGGTTACAAAACTGACATTAACCCGCGCGGGGCTGGGGTCTCCAGCCGAACGCGCGGGGCTGGGGGGGGGGGGGTAAATTTTACCCCCCCCCCCTGTTATCTCCCGAACTAATGGTCCGATTTGGAAAATTCAAACGCCAATCGAAAGATCTCATCACGAACAACTAAAAACATGTACTTAATTTTAAGTTTGAGGTCAAGGTCAAGGTCAGGTCAAGGGTACAAATTGCAAGTTCCTACAGTATCGGCCTTGCACCGTAGTTGCCGAAGAATGGAGTCATGGACTGAGACTGATCGCCCAAAACGTGTTCTTAGGCTACCAAGACAATATTCGTTGCATACAATATCATTCAGAGGTCAAGGTCAAGGTCAGGTCAGGTCAGGTCAGGTCACCAAAAACAAAATATAGAAAGGGCATGTGCGACACATGTTTTATGGGTCATTTTACTCATAGAATTCAATAGGCACACTCAATAAGTGATATGGACCACCTCTGGATGAATTTCAGGTCGAGGTCAGGTCAAGGTCAGGTCAAGTGAGGTCAAATTTTGAAGTTGGTTGCTAAGGCCTAAAAAGGTGTCTATCTGATGCAGTTTTTCACGGCGAGTCGAATGGTGCTATTTTTGTTTCCGTACGAGGTCTAGAACTTCCAAAAAAGTCATTTTTCAAAAATTGTGTGTGTCGTGACGTCATACAATTTTGAATAACTCCCACATTTTTGAACCGATTCTTCTAAAACTTGGTATGTAGGTACACATAGACCACTTCTCTGACATATATTCCGGTTTTTTCGATACACTCAAAATTTTGGATTTTATAGCTATTTTCCCAAAAAAGTAAGTTTTTTGGAAAAATTTGGGCCAAAATCCAAAATTTTCAAAAAACCAAGATAGCCATTTGATAGACGAAGTAGAATTACGTATATCCTTTTTGTAACGTCTTGATTCCTTTAAAAATGAAGATGTTAGCGGCGTTTGAACTTTTGCCGTTTTTGAGGCGAAAATGGCGAACATGACGTCACTAAAACGTCAATTTCTCAAAAATTTTCCGACGGATTTCGCTCAAATTTTCAGGGAACGTGTCAAATTGATGTAAGATAAGGTACTGAAAGTTTGGCGGCGCTGCGCGCCGCCGTTTTTGAGATATTGCAAAAATTCGCGAGGGGGGGGGGGTAAAATTTACCCCCCCCAGCCCCGCGCGGGTTAAGCAGTTGGCACTACCTGCCAACCGATTAGCTCCGTACCTGCTGTGGTAGCCCTTACATTAGTTGTCCTTCCGCGGCAATCCAGGCTTCGATTTCAGCCCTGTGAATAGTGATTTACTGTATTGAAGACACGACCCTCCAGCAAAGGAGTGGCTGGTTAGCCTAGGTATGTGCTTTTGGTGTAACAACTTTAAATGACTCCTGAGAAACTCTTATAAAATGACTCAATAGAAATAAGATGAGGGTTCGTGCACAGCAGTGGTTTTCAACAGCCATTAGACGTATTCATCAATGCAGATCGATCATTGTGATGTCCGCAACCAACCACTTAATACCTGGAGGGCCGTACTTGAAGCGTAACCCAACAATCCACACGTGTAACACAACCCTAGTGGGCTATAGAGATGTAAAATATGAGTCATTTTCCCATTGTAACCAGTGTTTAGTTCTCACCTCCTGGTTTCGGCCGACTCCCTCCCAACAAACGCCATTTAAAAGTATATTTTTATTGACTATTCTAACGATTACATCAGCATCTGTGACGTCACCAGTCCTGCTGACGTCACATGCCCAACACTTAGTACCAGCACATAGCGCGGGCGGGCGCCAGAGGCCCTCAAATCACACACACAGGCCGAACGAACGGTTTGAGAGCCCCCGCGCAGCGGCGCTTACCGCGAGCCAGAGCGGGAGCTACAGCGAGCCAGCAGCGAGCTAACCGCGAGCTAACCACGGGCGAGCAGCGAGCCATCCGCCAGCGAGAGCGAGCCATAGCGGTGGCTACAATGAGCCAACACGAGCTACAAAGAGCAGCACGAGGCAATGGAGACAACCGTGGGCCACAGCGGGAGCTACAATGAGCTAACGCGGGACCGCTGAAGCGGTTTGAACTCGGCAAACGATTGGTAAACGGCGGCAAAAGCGAATGCAACTGGCTCTTCTCTTTACCCCGCCCCCCAAAAAAAGCCGAACGAAGCCCCCCAAATCCAGCTTTCCGGACCCTTACCCGATGTTGTCCCTCCCCCCCCCCCCCATCCCTCGCTTGCACCCAACACAGCGAGCCTTAAATCTAGACACAAACTGAACTAAACACCTCTTCTGTCAGCACAGCGAACTACAGCGTTTGATTTTAGCAGCTACATCCCACTCACAGTCATGACGTCACACACGGGGGCGGGGCGATGGATGTGACGTTGTGTATGACGTCATAGGATGACTCTGGGAGCAGAACCGCTAGTGATTTATCTGCAGTATAGTCTCCATTGGACGCCCCTGTTAAATCCGTGCCGCTGAGCCTTATCTAACCAACCATGGGCATATGAAAATAGCGACATTTACACACACAATAAGCACAGACACAGATAACAGTAGTACTACTGTTATCTGTGGCACAGATATACGAAATGACATCGCCTCACATACCAGCAGACCATACCTGCGACATTAAAACCCCGCGCAGAGGCCAGGTAACGTCGAGTCTGAATTAGCCAATCAGAAGACGCTCGAGAGCGCTTCAACCAATCAGCACGCGTCAGATTGTGTCGACCAATCAGCACGCTGCAGCCTGAGCCGTTCAGAACTGGTCTCTCAGGTATCTACCAATCACGGCCCGGCTCGCTGTGGGCCCGCTTTCCACCAATCACGACCTCCGAGACGCGCAGTCTTCCGCCAATGGTAACACGCCATGTTAAAGTTTCTTAAAGCGCAGTGCGCGTGTCTACACCAATCAGGATGCGAAATGGTCGGCAGCGGACCAATCAGGACGCGGGTTCACTCTAAGTTAGCCAATCAGCACGCGAGTTGGCCGTAAGTTGACCAATCAGGACGTCCGATGTTCCACGTTGACCAATCAGCACGCGAGTTGGCTCTACGTTGACCAATCAGCACACGACTTGGCTCTCAGTCCACCAATCAGTTCGCGAGTTGGCCGTAAGTTGACCAATCAGGTGCCCGTTCACTGACGCACATGGTTCATGACCACCGTCTGCGCCTCAGCCAGTCCCAGGGAGCCCAGCACTTGTCCAAGATACTCCAGCGAGAGGTTACTGTATTTCTGTAACGAGAAAAACGTAAACGTCATGTGGATGTTGATGAAGATTGGGTTTGGGGTCACCCCAGGGGCGCAGGACTTAAGAAGGGTACAATGGGAGTCAATGCGAGTACATTGTGGGAAAGATAAGGTGGCGAAGTTACAAGCTAGGCAACGTATTGCCTGAAACAGACTCTTTCCGCAGTCAGGAAATCGCATGTGAGAGCCTATTCAAATACATGGAAGCACGCTCGCATCAATCGCACGCACCTCCCGGATGCGATTGATGGGGGAAGAATTATAATGTATTTGAATAGGCTCTCACAAGCGATTTCCTGAACGCGGAAAGAGTCTGTTTCAGCCTTATGACATGAGCAGGAAAATGATGCTTGGAAACTATTCAGTGCTTTCAGTTACACATCAGAGATTGCTTTCGCATTTTATATAAAAAAAAACACTTACCGCGCATAATGTGTAAACAACACGTCACAAGGGGGTGGTTTACAATGCAACCTGAAAATTCTGTCTCGGGTGGTACGGTAACACAGGGAAAAGTTTTAGCAGTAGATGACAGCTCGCCCCTCCGCGGGATATGCCTATGCCGTAACCTCGCCTTACACAGCGCAGTATGGTTCTATGCTATACATCCCCTCCCCTGAATCCGCCTCTGCCGTGACCTAATATTGCCACAGCGCAGTATGTTTCTATACACCCCCTCTCCCAGATCCGCCCTTGCCGTGACCTAATCTTACCACAGCGCAATAGAAGTACAAACAACCCCACTCCTGATTCCGCCCCTTTCGTGACCTAATCTAGCCACAGCGCAATAGAAGTACAAACAACCCCACTCCTGATTCCGCCCCTTTCGTGACCTAATCTAGCCACAGCGCGGTAGAAGTGCAAACAGCCCCACTCCTGATTCCGCCCCTTTCGTGACCTAATCTTGCCACAGCGCGGTAGAAGTACAAACAGCCCCACTCCTGATTCCGCCCCTTTCGTGACCTAATCTTGCCACAGCGCGGTAGAAGTACAAACAGCCCCACCCCTGGATCCGCCCCTGCCGTGACCTAATCTTGCCACAGCGCAGTAGAAGTACAAACAGCCCCACCCCTGAATCCGCCCCTGCCGTGACCTAATCTTGCCACAGCGCAGTAGAAGTACAAACAGCCCCACCCCTGGATCCGCCCCTGCCGTGACCTCACCTTGACACAGCGCAGTATGTAGACGGTGGGACTGGCCTGGCGCTGCACAGTGGTGACATCCAGCTCCAGTAGTTCGGCCACCGTCCGCCAGGGTCCGCTGTCTCCGTCCAGTAGGGCGCTCAGCTGACGTACGGCGGGACCCGGTAGACCGGTACCCTCTGCGGGAAACAGCGGTGGGTAAGGAACATTTTGAGGTGACATCGAAACAGAGGCCTGCAAAATCACTGCAATGTGATTTTAACTCGGCTGACACAAGCCAGTATACATCTCGAGTTACTAAGAGGCGTGGATACCTAAGAATTAAATAAAGGCGCATTAGCTACCATTCACATTTGAGATAAGCCAGAAATGCGTTTGTAATTTGCATCATTTTCGCGTATTACTGTGCATAAATGACGCTGCGTTACACTTACATCGTCCGTTAGTGCATTGCTAGTGGTTTATCGTTCAAACCGGTCACAATCGCCAATAACATTTAGTTTCCCTCGCCCCTCACGGAACGTGGGATCTGTTACCCGCAAAATCCGATGAAGCAATGCGGTACAGCCTATAGTTTCAGGCGTTCGCTTAGCCTGCCATCTGGCGTCAACGGGGGAAAAGTGCGGTACCGCAACCCACCAGCATAGATGGCGCTCGCTGCTGAAGCGCTATCTGCTGCTTGAATAGACGGGGAAGAGGCATTTGGGGCAAATGCCCCCTCAGGCCTCACACCGCACCAAATACGACCAAAAGCTGTCGTTTTTTTAAGAAAAGAAAGAACCCTAATTTAATAGGAAAAGTTAGGTTTGAGCTGCACGGAAACGAAATCCGAGGAGTTGTTGCAATTTGGAAACTTATTAGAGGGCATGTCACCCGCAGCGTTCGAGACCGCCTGTCTGGATCAGCCTAAGCTATTAACCCTACAAACCCTCTGTTGAATCTCTGTTCGACATTGTGACAAATGCCGAATCTCTCGAAGGAAGGAATCAGTCTTACCAGCGTCACTGATGGGCCCGGTGACGTCACAGGCCGAGCTGAGCTCCTGTGTAATCCCCAGTCCGGAGTCCATTCCACTGTCCATATCTCCCTTCTTCCCAGCCAGCGCCGCCACAGGCACCGCGGCAGCCGCCTGGGCCAGAGGCGCAGCGGCGGCGGCAGCGGCGGCGGCGGCGGCGGGGGCGGCGGCGGGGGCGGGGGCGGGGGCCTCCTGAGGGCCGTCATCCTCCTCCTCATCATCATCAGGAACCTGAATACGGCCCAGCAGGATCTGCTCCAGCTGCGTGGGGAGCAGAAAAAGACGTCAACAAAAGGAAAAAGACGTATGCCAGAGGTAACTTAACGTTGCATTTTGACCACCTCATTGGGGGATGAAACTCGAAGGGTATTGAATACATCGGTATAATATAACGATTGAGATAAGTTAATACAGTAGAATAAGTGCAAACAGTATTTTTTAAAGTCTATAGACTATAGATACTATCCGATAACACCTTAACGCATTTTTATCAAAACAGTCTATTCATAAGAGTCATTTAATTGAAATGTATGAAATTCTATGACTGAACTTCAGTTGTTTTTAACAGGACGATGTCATTAAATGGGTCTCTCTCTCCCTCCCCCTCTCTCTCTCTCTCTCTCTCTCTCTCTCTCTCTCTCTCTCTCCCTCCCTCTCTCTCCCCTCTCCCCCTCTCACCGTCGGATCTCCTGCCATATCGGCATACAGGAAGGCATTGAGCCGCTCCTGGTCCTCCTCCTCCTCCGCTCCTCCATCCCTCTCTCCCGGCTCATCCTCCCCGCTCTCTGTTCCCGATCCGGCCGTGGGCTGCCTCTCCACACTCTGCCTATGAGGGTCGGCTCCGTGAGCGATCAGCAGAGACACCAGCCGCCGGTCGGCCAGTTTGCAGGCCAGGTGGAGAGGTGTGACGTCAGCGAACGTGGCCGCGTCCACAGCAGCGCCCTGTGGGGAGAGCGGGGAGGTGGGTAGAGGGGGTGGGTGGTGGTCAGTGGGTGGAGGGTAGTGTGTAGACAGGGTGAGGGGAGAAAGGGAAGATAGATAGAGAGTTAAGGAGCGTAGAAAGGTGAGAAGAGGAGGGGAGAGAAAAAGAGAATAGGGCAGAGCGATGAGAGCATAGGACAGATAGGACAGAGGAGTGAGATGGGGGAAAGGACAGAGGTGACAGAGGTGGCAGGGAACACACAACACAGAACAAGCCAACAAAGCACGTCAATCAACCAATCCTCGTCATATGTCTCCAGCCTCACTACTGTCAACACCAATATTCGCCGCGATAACAATTATTCCGTATCACCTCCTCTGAACACGTTCCTGTTCGTCGTATTACACATATATGGAACGTTTATCCACCTGCCCATCCCTTACATGTCGAGTTGTTTGACCGCAGTCAACGCCTCTTTCCCTCCTTCCTTTATCCATCTCTCCCACCTTCAACCACTTCGACAGTCAAAGACAGAACTCAGCCAGAATAACAGAAACATCAACCTTCCTTTCGTCTCTCCCACAGATTGAGCACCACATCAGATGTCAAGCGAATACCAACTTTTTGATATACCGATACCAAACCGATACCACCTTGGTATTTGGTATTTCAACCTAATGCATTTGGTATTTTGTTGGTAAAATAAATTTTTCATTTAATGGTATAAAAGCCGGTGAATGTTGTACAAACTTGCGATTTCTATCATTCTTAAAACCTGGTTTAGTTTTCGGTTTTTCCTCATTGAATTGTTCGATATTTGGTTTGGTATTGGTTTCAAAATTCCCTGCAACCGACATCACTACTCCACATGCATATCTCTCTCCCTCTCTCCCTCCCTCTCACCTGTCTGAGGAGCATCCTACACATCGCCACATCCCTAGCCATGACCGCCAGATGGAGCGGCGAACGGCCCTCGGTATCATCAGGAACACTGACATCCGCTCCGGCGGCACAGAGCAGCGCCGCCGCCTGCTGATGTCCCGCCTGGACCGCCACGTGCAGCGCACTCAATCCGCGGTAGTTAGTCTGCTGGAGGAGTCGCTCCGTCTGCCCACTGATACGGAGGTGGTGTAGGAGGGCAGCTAGCACGTCCACTGATCCTCGCCTGGCGGCGAGGTGGATCGAGGAGTCGCCGGCGCGGTCGACCAGGTCCGGTTCGGCTCCGGCGGAGAGTAGGAGAAGGACAGAGTCGGCGGCTCCAGAGAGGACCGCGAGGTGCAGCGGCGTCTGAAAGGGAGAGCGCGGGGGAGGGTCAGCGGGGAGAGAGAGGGGGGAGGCAGCAGCAAATGTGGAACATAAAACGTAAAACGAAGTCAGCAAATGTGGAGTATAAAACGTAAAACGAAGTGTTGAGATCCACTATCAAGCCAGCACCACTGTATCATCTCCAATTCCATATATCCTGTTGCTTATCTCCATTCCATGTCTGTTTGAGAATCTCCAACTACCGCATGTCTAATATCTCCATTTCCCACATGTCATGCAACTCCATCCCCTTCATGTACATATCCATCCTCTACATTAAGGTTAACATCTGCATTCAGCACATTCATAGAGATAGAATCTCCATTGTTTACACATCTAGCATCTCCACTCGTTACCTTTCTAGCATACTTGGCATGTAGCATTCCCACATGTCTACATACGGATATACTCGTAAGTAGTATCTCTATTTTTTTTTTTTGCAACTTACAATACTGTATTCATTTCACTGTAGCCACAGGGAACATTTTGATGACACACCATCACTCATATTCAGTCATTGCTTTGGTTTTGCACCAAATATTTCGCCCCATAGTACGGCCCTCCAGGTGGTTGGTTGCCAACATCACAATAATCGATCTGCATTGATGAATACGTCTATTGGCCGTTGAAAACCACTGCAGAAGTGTGTGCACGAATCCTATACTCATTTCTATTGAGTCATCTTACAGAAGTGTCTCTGTCATTTAAAGTTATTACACTAAAAGCACATAGGCTAACCAACCACTCTTTTGCTGGAGGGCCGTACCTCGAAGTCGCTTGGGACTAGCTCTCTCGCATCTCCATTAAGTTTAACCCATACCTGTCTGTTTGCGTTGTGACTGTCGACCATGGCGCGGCGCAGGTCGTCCTCCAGTCCAGAGATGGCCTCCAGCAGGCTGGACAGCGCCTTCTTGTTTCCGTACATCGCCGCTACGTGCAGTACACTGCCGGGTGGAGGGGTGCGGTTATACAGAGGTCGGCGGTTCGAATCTAGGCGGGGGATATTTGATATTTCTAAAGCAGGGTGCGGAGAGTTAGAGGAATAATGGAGAGATATGGTTATACAAAGTTAGGCGGAACGAATCCAGGCAGGGGATATTTCTAAATCGAAGGTGCTATCTTGTGGACGGCAGGTAGCTCGGTGATCTAATCCTGGACTTCTTAGTTCTTGACGCGTTTGTTTATTCCGTACCAATCGTGAGATGGTCAACAGTCAATTCATAAAACTATGCATCAATTTATTCCAGCGTTCGTGTTCTCATCTATCAATGAGATTCATTCATTCATTTCATTCATTCATTCTGAATTCATCCATACAATTCAGTTCATTCATTCATCCAGATGGATGCCAAAGAGAAGTAGCAAATTCAAGTGACGCCGTGAACGCATTTACGCTTTACTGTTCAATACTGCGGGATTACTGCTGTCAGCGAATATCTCAATGTTCGAGCGGTCAGACCCGATTCATAAATATATACACTCGGACACTCACTTATCCCCGTCGTAGTTTTCCATTGTGACCATATATCGGCACTGATCTATGTGGATTTTAACGCTTAAGGGTCGGGCCCAATTAATAAACATATACGCCCGGACACTCACTTGTCTCCGTCGTAGTTTTCCATGCCGACGAGACAGCGGAAGCGCTCCAGAAGGAAGTTTTCGTCTCCAGTGGCCGCAAACAGGTACAGACTATCAGCGTTACCGTAGGCCAGCTGGAAAAGCACGTCACAATTACGTCAGTGGCGTCATACATGTGTCAACCATATCACAAGTACCTATGCCAACCATTTGTCAGTGATGTCCAAAATACGTCAGAGGTGTCTTATAAACGTCAGTGACGTCATGATGTACATCATGCCAATGATGTTTGCAACGTGACGTCACGTCAGACATCTACTCTGTATCATGGTTTCTCTGTTCCAAAGCGTTCCTCGTTCCTCCCTTCCTCTTGGTTCTTCCGTAATCCGTTCTCTATCATTTCCCGTTCGTCCGCCCCATCATAGCTGCTTTGTTCCCCGTATTTCCCCCATTCTGTAGTTACTCCTTTCCCTCATTCCTCCACTTCTCCGCTTCTCATCGTTCCCCGTTCCTCCTCGAGTTCCCAGTTCCTCACCTGCACCTCAGGGCGGCTGGTGTCGGCGGCTCTCGGTTGCTTCTTTCCTTTATCTCCGTCCTTTTCTCCTGGAGATCCTCCGCCTCCTCCGCCGCCGCCGCCGCCGCCGCCACCGCCGCCGCCGCCACCGCCTCCCCTTCCCAGGTTCATCCTGGCTATGTCAGCGGCCAGCTGATCAGCAGTCTGGCCCGCCGGAGCCGAGTCCGCCGCCGCCGCCGCCGCCGGGGCCGGGGCCGGGGCGGGGGCGGGGGCGGTGCCGCCCGGGCCGCCCAGGCCGCGTACCACGCCTCGCGGCGCGCGGTGTGTACGCACGGGCGGTGCCACGCCGTCACCCTCGCGCGCCTCCGGCGGGAGGCTCTGCAGTATCATCTGCATCTGCAGGGGAGCGAGATACAACGTCAGACAGCGGCGGATAGACAGACAGTCAGATACACAGCGGCGGCGCTAACGACGGCCCGACGGCGCGGGTTCGATCCCAGCGAGCGGCGACTTCGCACAGATATTTCACGTTGTGTTCAAATAATCAGTTTCAGCCTAGTGTTCAGACATTTAAAGCGACTTCTATTGCACTAAATCTAATAACAATATATGAAAGAAATGTCGTCTTTGCCAGCTTATAACAGTGCACCAATATAATCACGGATGAAGGCACCCTGAGGATATTTAGAATATTTGCTGTTGTATTGGGATCGGATGTGAATCAACACAATGTTGTCTGGCACGCTAAAAATACAGACAGCAACCGAGGGGACAGACGCCAGTGTCAGTTGTGGCGGTGCTATTGCGCTGGACGCCAGTTTCAATAGCACACTCACCTCCTCGTCCGTCAGCTGTCTGGAGATGGACTCCTGAGGACAGAGGTCAGCAGAGGTCACATATAGGTCAGTAGAGGTCAGCAGAGGTCAACAGAGATCAGCAGAGGCCACAGACAGGTCAGCAGAAGTCACACACAGGTCAGTATAGAGGTCAGCAGAGGTTACACACAGGTCAACAGAAGTCAACAGATGTCAGTAGAGGTCAACAGAGGTCACTCACAGGTCAGTAGAGGTCAACAGAGGTCACATACAGGTCAGCACAAGTCTACATAATTCAGCAGAGGTCAGTAGAGGTCAACAGAGGTCACATACAGGTCAGTAGGTTAACAGAGGTCACACACAGGTCAACAGAGGTCAACATAAGTCAACAGAGGTCACATACAGGTCAGTAGAGGTCGGCAAATGACATGACCGGGGACAGAGACGAGCAAAAGAACAACTCGAGTAACCGCTCAAGTGACAACCCGCGACTGAGGGAACTGAACTGGTGACTGAAGGCTAAACTCGTGACTGATAGGGGGGGGGGGCTCAACTCGAGACTGAAGGGGGGGGGGGAGCAGAGCTGGCGGGTCCGGGTACTAACCTGCTGATCCCCGAGGCCCATGACTGCATTCATATCCTGTGCAACAAACACCAATCAGAATGCGCCAACATAAACAAAGGCCAATGAGCAGCCAACACAGGCTAACTACGACCAATCAGCAACGAGTAAAAGCGGTAACAACCAATCAGGTACGGCTTAACAGAATACGAAGAAGCATATCAGTGCATACATATATTGTCTACCATGCCACTGCGAAAACTGGCTACGATTTTTCTGACTCGAAAATAAGAATAACGTTTTCAAATTAAATCAATACAATTACAGGCCATTTAGCAATCATTTACGTTTTTCGTCTTCGCGCCTTTTTTTAACATAAAATTGTGTTTTTCCTTTTCCTAAAATAGGCAGAATTTTAAACATTATTGACAGTATTTTCACGCGTAGCTTTCAGCTTGGAACTTTACCCGGCTGAATAGCGACCGCGGGGTTTTGGTGAGCATGTGTCAGTTCTAATATCAAATGTACCACCAAATGTGTACAAAACAAGAGATGCGAGCGTTGGTGCCCGCTATGAGCATTTCAAATATCTATATGTGGTACGGGTACGGAAATCGAAATGTTTTAAGTTAAATGACAAAATATTATCAATAGAACGTGCAAATTAGAGCCGGGAGCATAGGTGAAAGCGAAAACAAATAATAGCTGCAGCCGAGTCACAACCGCCAACTGCGACCGCGTCACAACTGCCAACTGCGACCGCGTCACAACTGCCAACTGCGACCGCGTCACAACTGCCAACTGCGACCGCGTCACAACTGCCAACTGCGACCGCGTCACAACTGCCAACTGCGACCGCGTCACAACTGCCAACTGCGACCGCGTCACAACTGCCAACTGGTTGACATTATATGACACTATAAGTTGACATCCGTATTGAACAAAGCATGCCACGACCAGACAGCTAACCAGTCAGTCGTAACTCGCAGAACTCGAGTGGCCATAACATACCTTTACCGCATCCATGCTGTCGATGCCTACCGCTAGTGAGAAAACAAACGCCAAATGGATCTTAAAATAGAATAGTTATACTACCAAAGAGGCGAACTTGCACTTAGTGTTGGGCAAGCTTGTTACCCTCTAGGTGGATCGTACTCACCATGGCACCGTAGAACTGATCCTGTTGTCCAAATCCCATAGTGTCGCTGGGCGTCGTCATCTGTGAATGACGACACTGGGCTTAGTTCAAATCATCACGCTGCACAGCAGCGACATCTATAAAATGTCAGCTTATCAAGCGATGGTGGCGACACCTATAATTATATAAGGCAAACACCGATGGAACCGTAACGTTCGGTTTAAACACTAAACTATAAAAAAGGAAGCTCTCCCTTGTGAGCCCTTTTGCGGCGAACATCATTGAGTTTGAGACGAAAACATAGTTAAATGTCTATGTAAAGTAAATGTTGTAGGGCAAATTAACTACCCAAACTCTTATTATACAAGGTCCGCCCAATTCCACCCAGTCCGGTCCCGCCAGATGTCCGGAGACGTCAGTCCGTTACGAGCAGGCTAGCTTGATGATCAGGTAAGCGGCTGGGTAGCCCGTCCCGTTCGGACAGTCCTTTCTAGAGATGTCAATCGGATACCAGCTTTTTGGCATACCGATACCAAACCGATACCAACTTGGTAGTTGGTACTTACAGGCGAGTGCATTTGGTATTTTGTTGGTATTATGAATCCTTACTTATGTAAGAGGCTGAGAATTTGGTAAAAAGTTTGTATTTTCCTCATATTCCCAAGTCGGTTCGGTTTCGGAATTTTTCCATGGATATTGTTGGTATTTGGCTTGGTATCGGTATCACAATCTTCCGTAATGGACATCACCAAGTCCCGTCCCATCGGGACATTCCCTTCCCACTGGGGCAGTTCCATTCCAAAGAAATAATCTCAGCTACTCTGGGGCACCAGTCGGTAATCAGCCCAGTCTAAAGTGCCCCTTATTTTACCGCCTTAGCCCCGAACTGGACCCTCCATCCTCGAAAACTAACCTCAATCCCACAACGACGGTTTTAGTCCCCTTTCCATCGCTTCCACCTCATCCCCCGACCACCTAGTTACACAGTGTTCTAAGGTTTAAATACCAACGGCGATGACTCTGGTACAGGGGTGGACAAATGTGCCGAGTTGGGGTAGCACGGGCGCAGCAAATCCGCCGCCGCCCTAGCGGTGCCCTTGACCTCCGCCGTCTGTTGCGGCTCCAAAGCCAAGCCGGCGTGGAATTGGGAAAGCTCGTGCTACCCCCAACTCGGCACAAATATCCACCCCTGCTCTGGTACTGTGTGTTTTACTGCGTGAGTGTATTTCGTTCTTAGGTACAGTCTGTCTTAAAAATACCGCGCAAAGTGATGGTGGATCCATCAAGCCTGACCAAGGAAGGGCCTGCTATAATTTGAAAGTCACCGAACCAATTGACCTGGGGAATGGACGAGGATGCCAATTGCTTCGGTGACTCAAATTTAGCAGGCCCTTCCTCGGTCAGGCTTGATGGATCCACCGTTACTTTGCGCGGTACTTCTAAGACAGACTGTACATGGTGTGTGTAAATTTTCTAAGGTTCCATTACCACACTGTGTGTAACACTCACGGCCGGGAAGCCACTGCCGCCCTGCAGGATCTCATCCACAGTAGACGGCGCGGCGCTGGTAGCCAAGTTCGGGTCGCGAGGAGACATCATCTGCAGAACGGGGGACGGGGGCTCACGTGTGATGACTTCACTGCACCGTGCGCCGGACAGTACTGGTGGCCTGGACCCAGTTCATATAGAGCCCCTTTGCTAGCCAACAGGCTTTTCTATAGGAACTGGGCCAGGTTAGCAGTGCAACCAGCCTCCCACAAGGGAAAAACGGAAGGGTGTTCCGTGTGGGTGGCACCCGTTTCGGTTTCACTTCCAGTGGATTTCTATACTGCGTAACCGATCAAGAAAATGAATACAAAGATACCAATCGCGTACCATGCACGCTGTTACGCATTACATATTAACAGTGAAATAAATAACTATCCTTAAACTGACAGTCGATCACTGAAGTGACAGCACTCGCCATCCCAATGTCACTAGCTAGCCTGTTGGCGACTCCGCCTTCACTCACCTGATAGGGATTGTGCTGTGGACTGGCATAATGCGTGTACGGCTGGTGGAGAGAAGACAGAACATCCGTCAAACGACAGTCATTTAAACACCGAACAGCGTCAGTCAGGCAACATCAGGGTAAACGTTAGACATAAGAAACTACATCAGCAACAGCCGGGATTTTCTTCTTGACTATCTTGGAAGCTTCAATTGCTGGGCCACGATATATGTATATGAAATTATTGAGTCTCTAGTCACCATTGAATGAAAAAGATTAGGTAAGGTGTAGTCTAGTCAGTAGTCACTGAACAAGGAATTAGCTGTCACAGCTGTGAAGCAGTTAATCTATTGGCTCGCGAGTGCTGCCTGAGTTGTCTGAGTGTATGACCTGTGAGTTTATTGTCTGAGTGTTTTGTTAGTAAGAGTATTGTCTGAGTTTATTATTTTTGAATGTATTGTCTGTGTTTATTTTGTCTGAGTGTATCGTATGGGTGCAGGGGCGGATCCAGAAAATCTCCAAGGGAGGGGCCATTAGAAACCAGGAGGCCCCCATAATCCCACCTGTTGGAGGCCCCATCTTCCCACTTGTTGGCCCCCCCCCAAAAAAAAACTGCGTCTATTGAGCTTATCTAGCTGTTCAGGCAACATCTCAACATGAATAGCCACTTTATTTTCAGGAGGCCCCCTTTTCAGCTTTTTAACTTTTTATTTTATTTTTGAAAAAAAATCGGCCAAGGGGGGGGGCATGGCCCCCATGCCCCCCCCCTTGTATCCGCGCCTGTATGGGTGTATTGCCTGTGAGTATATTTTCTGGGTATTTTCTGCGTGTATTGTCTGAGCATACAGTGAACATACTATCGTTAGTGTACTATTGTCTGTCACTAACGATAGTACAGACAGTGCCTTGTCTGTTAATATATTGTCTGAGCGTATTATCCGTGAGTTTGTCTCACCGGCTGCAGTGCGTTTGTCTCACCCGCTGCAGTGCGTTTGTCTCACCTGCCGCGGTGAGTTAGCGGTCTCACCTGCTGTGGTGCGTTTGTCTTAGTTTGTCTCACCTGCTGCGGTGAGTTTGTCTCACCTGCTGCGGTGAGTTACAGTTAACTGTCTCACCTGCTGCAGTGAGTTAGCTGTCTCACCTGCTGCGGTAAGTTAACTGTCTCACCTGCTGCGGTGAGTTTACTATCTCACCTGCTGCGGTGAGTTAACTGTCTCACCTGCTGCGGTGAGTTACAGTTAACTGTCTCACCTGCTGCGGTGAGTTTGTCTCACCTGCTGCGGTGAGTTTATCTCACCTGCTGCGGTGAGCTGGCCGCCGCCGACTCGGGGCTGTACGGAGAGGCCACAGAGTGGGGCGACGCGTGTGGATAGTACACCGACGAGCCCTGCGACATCACAGACATCGGCTGCTGCAGCTGCTGCGGCTGCTGTGGCTGCGTCTGCGGCGGCTGCGGCTGCCGCTGTGTTTGCTGCTGCTGACGCTGCATTTGCAGCTGCTGCTGCTGCTGCAGCTGCTGTTGCTGCATCTGCTGGTGTGGCGGCTGAGGCGGTTGTCGCAGCTGCTGCATGAACTCGGCCTGTCCCCCGCCCAGCATTGCCATGAGCGCGTCCGGGGGAGGTACCTCGAACGGAGTGCGTCCTGGGAACACGGCCTCACCGGTCACGGAGGGTTACAAAGTGTCACACAGACACGTCACTGTAGGTCACCGAGGTCACTGGACCGTCCCACGACACAATGAACGTCTGAAGAGGTAATTTGTTATCTTACATTATAAATTTAGGAAATTTCCATAAAACAAATGTTCTTCAAAGAACGCTGACCGTTTCTCCCGTCAAGCAACGCCTCAGCATGGGTTTCGGAAAATATTCACCCCTGGCGGGTTTCGAACCCACGCCTGTACGTTTTCCAGTTCTATTCAGTCACTTCCCGGAGACTGTACGCACGGTGTGCTGGTTACCACAGTAACGAGACGGGATCAATACGGGAGGAGGACACGGCAGAATAACAGGCACGTTCTCAGAGAACGGCAGACCGAGAAAGACCGGATTTCATTATATGGCAATGGATACATTAGTGACAACCGAACTCGAAACGAGAAAAAAGGACGTGGTTGACTAGGGATTTGTATATCGGAATATCTTTGACAATGGCCGTGTGTCTTAAAAACGTTACACAAAAAAATATTTTTTAGAAAGCCATTATTAAATACGGCGGGAAAACTTTTCAATTAAATTAAATTAAAAAAGTTTTTGAATATGATGCGTAAAGCGGAATGAAAAATGAAAGTGTTTTTGAATAAGAACTATTATGGGAGTAAGCCCAGGTCTGTGATGCCAACAAAAATAACAAAATCACTTTTTAGTACCCAATCACGAAGATAGGCATTTAATTTACCCAATTACATTTCCCAATTTTGATGTGGTATGTTACCAGTTAATGCCACCTTCACAAATCTATAAACGTGGAATTTTTCCTATGAAATTATCAGGATATGAGAAAACAACGCATCTCCATGAAGCTCGCATAATTATAATGCAAATTTCGCAAGATGCAGGCAGTATGAAATATTTACATCGAATATCGCTGGTAGGGTTTCGCGCTAACTTGTGTGTAAGTAGGTGCACGATAAAACTCGAACACCTCCGAACAGTGTAAACTTACCTCTATATCGCCGTCTTCATCGAAGCGGCCGGCGCTGCCGCCTCCTCCCCAGTGACGTCACCGGTCGGTCGTGATGACGTCATCAGTGTGTGTGCATGACGTCACCCACGGCGGTGATGAGCGTTACCGACACGGCGCAGTGATGAGAGTGACCTTGACCGCACAGTGCCCTCTTTGCGCCATACTCGGGCGAATTACTGACCCCGGACAGGCGCAAAAATTTTGCGAATCCATTTGGAGCATGGATCATCGTTAAATTTCTTGATCAATTTTTGATTTCTGAAAAAAACGCTGAATTTACTATTATTTTTCAGCTAAATAAAACCCATCGCGAAATCGAACTGCTCGCTATCGCATTATCGTACAAACCAAAAGCTCAAAATCGCTTGAGGATATTCGGACACCAAAACTCCATTTTATCACTCCAATAACTCTGTTGGCCGAGTGACCACCCGCTAATGGTTTCCAGAGGTCTGGGGTGCGCTATGTTCGGTCAGCTTCCTCTCATCACTGCGCCTGGGGGGAGAGGCCGGGAAGACCTGGCTGGTGCGGGGGACCGCGTGCCGCCTGCCGCTGCTGCCACATGCTCTATGGTCTGTGATCTATCTGTGGTCCCTGTGGTTTTTAGTATTTATGGTCCATACTCCATGGTATGTATCTGCTTGCCTTCATACATGCCTATCCGCTAGATGCGTAGCGCTCGCACAAGGTATTATTTCGCCTTTTGCCATCACGGATAACCACGCTTCTGCATCCACGCATTTTAGACTGCTCGCATGCTTATCTGACCATATCTGATCAGTTCCCGACTTTGTTTTACTAAAGCACCCGTTTGTAATCGATTAAGGCGCACGTATCAATCCGATAATATCATCTGATAATCTACAAGCATATTTATCCCATAATCCACAGAACGAGACGTAACCCACGAATAGCCCAGATAACATCAGGTAAACCGTTAAAGCCTTTGCCGGCTACCCGCCAAGTGCCAGTTTGACATTGCAATCTGAACATTGCACTGCAGGAAGTACCCAACCACGAACTGCTCCAGTTGTGTTTCAATAGAAAAAACACAATTCTAACGAATAGTGTTTGTCAATTTTCAAACAACCTGCGGTTACATTCGCTCATTCACTCATTCATTCATTCATTCATTCATTCATTTATTCATTCTTAAATGCATAACCAAGTCATTCGCTCATTCACTAATTCAATCGTTTCGATCATTTTTTTCTCGTTAAATAATGCACATTTTGGTTTACGTATTCATACATACAGCCAAACAATCACTTGTAAAACATCACTATTCACATAAACAACAACTGACAACAGACAATGCTGAAAATCAGAAGCGTACCGAGTACTCTGTGAGTGTTAAAAATCACCTTTGACGGCAAGGGTCGAATGGAATACATAACCTGTCCAATGTTCAATAAAATGTTCGCCTGTTCAATTTCTATGCAATAAAAAACGAGAAAAATAGTTTGATTCTAGTTTACGTGGCAATGCATCCGCATCTTCAGTCATTTGAAGATAAAATACCCGATTCGACAAAAGCGCATTTGATTAGAAATGTCATTGACAACTTAACCCTCGCCCGTATTGGTGTTTTTCCAGCCGCGAACGTATAGGGGGGGGGGGGGTCCGTTGGACCCCCCCTTGCCGTTTCGCCCCTGATCGAGCTAGAGCTTCGCGGAAAAAACGAGCGTGTTGCCCGTGACGAGAGCAAGCCGATGATACCCAATTTTAAGGTCCTAGGTCAGGGGTCGGCAAATGGTGGGGCATGCCCCCTTTGGGGGTAATGGAGCCCTCTCGGTGGGGGTAATGAGGGATTCTGAGAAAACCTATGTTTTTAATTAGTGGCTCCATTGATGGAACCATCGCGACTATTGCATCCCAGGGTTCAAAGATCAGCCCAGGTCAAAGGCACAGCACACATCGATTAGATACCAATTTTCACGTAGCTGCTCGCCTCACCATCTCACCGCGGCTCCGTACAGTCGTACAAAAGCAGATACAATTTTTAACTGTCGCCTGTCTGTTGGCGTTTCCACAGCCGCTAACGTAAGGGGGAGGAGTCGATCGGACCCCCGCGGCCTCTCGGACTCTGAGATGGAGCTGCGCATAAAAAACCGAGCGTATTTCCCGTGACTATAGGAAGCCGCTGCTGCCCATTTTTAAGGTCCTTGGTCATTTCGTCTCATTCAGGAGGCCAAAGACAAGTGTCGAGAAAATCGGGACCCGCTATGACTTCTTGAAGTGAGATTTTATGGCTCAAGATGATCTAAAAAAAAAAAAACTCAGCATAAGCCAATGATCATTATGGGTTCAACTTCAGAGGCCAGTTTTACCGACAGACAAATAGCCGCCTGCCGGAATTTTTCGCCCAAAGATCGCTTCACATACGGAGCGTTAACTGTAAAGCCCTATCCACTTACATGCTCACCGCGCTTACTCCGTATGTGAAGCGGTTTTTAGGCAAAAATTCCGGCAGGCGGCTATTTTTCTGTTGGTAAAACTGGCCTCAGGTTTTCCCGGGCAGGTAAAGAAAAAAAAAAAATGATTGGCTCGAGGGTACAATTTGGTCGTGATCCAACGGCTTTTACGTGAGCTTTTAACGAAAAACCACCCGCCGCCCCTATATGTACGAGGGTTAAATGGGATATATTAAATGCTTTGTGGAGGAAGAGTCATATTTGATGCATCGGAAATGCAGAAATACCCAAGAGTTCCAGAAAGGTATGAAATTTCAGTAAACTTGGTTGTGTCAGCAATGGGGTCGGGTAGGTGGGGGTAATGGCCCTGCCTGGCGCCTAAGAAGGGGGCACAACCCCGAATGACCTGCCGACCACTGTCCTAGGTCATCGGTTGACCTTCCAGGTCAGGTCAATGACCCAAAAGTCGGGAAAATCGGGACCTGTTAGAAAGTCGTAAAGCGTGGCTGCAATGGGGTTTTTCGGGGTGCTGATCACGAATATCATGTTAGTTGTGATCGCAGATGATGTATTCATGCATTTAAACCAGGTCGGGTCAGGTCAGGTCAGGTTAACCAGTAAGGGTATTCGTAGTAGGTGGCAACCGCCTCTGACAGCTTCGTTACATGTTACGGAGGTGCCAAAACTGCTTCGTAAATGTTCATATGGTTGCTAAATTCGAATTCAGCTCCAAAAACTGGCCTAGAAACATGTAAAACTCGAAAAAGTGAACCGAGGTCACCAAAGGTCAATGACCTGACCTGACCTTCCGGTGACCTTGACACCCACCCTAATACATGAGAGCAACATCATATCCCATGTTTGAACGCTTAAAACCACGAAACTGCAAACGCGCGGCTAATGCGAGCCGACATACGCCGAATCGCGATTCCGGCCAAACATGGTCTCGAAAAGTAGGTCACAGGTCAAAGGTCATTAGGGTCAGGGTTATGAAAATTTCAGCGTAGGTGTAGAATTGATTAACGCGAGTGTACTGAGAGTTTCGCCGCGATCGGCCGCTTTTTACGCGAGTTTTTCGCGAAAAACCGAGGGGGGTCCGTTCGACCCCCCCCCCTATACGGGCGAGGGTTAATTAACAAACATTTTGAACTAAATCAGCTGAATGAGTTCACATACTTAACTTTCGCGGGCCACCGATGGGGGGATTTTTCGATTCCCCCTGAGTTTTAGAGATCGAGACAAATTACGAACATAGTTGTATACCATATAACCTAGAATAAAATGTAAAGACTACTTTGGTGACCTGAGGTCAGAGCTCAGGGCAATATCCCGAAGTAAGGTTTTAGTTTTTTTTTGCAAATAACTACCATCAATGGTCGTAGTGTTAGTGGTAGTTACGGGTAGTTAGTTAGTGGTACAAACGCATCTGTCTTCTCAGTATGCGTCGAATGACATAGGACACTTTGTTTGGAAAAAGGTTAGCTTCTATGTTGACCTCATGTGACCTCGAGTGACCTTTAGTTGACCTTGACACATATGTGG